AACAACAACGATGTTGTAAAAAGTTAAACCATGAAGGTTAAGAGGGGCCAGAGGGGAAATTACTCAAAGGATAGCCGGTAAACACATTATAGCATGGGTGACGGAGCAAGCCGTATACAAGAGGGAGGTCGGCAGAGGAAAGATAAAACTAGTGGGAGACACAGGGACGAATGCAATAGTTAAAGTGAATGCATACTGGGGTAATAACTGTTAACTGCTGCTACATGGAGGGGATTGCAACCATGTTATAAAGCAAAGTATATGATTTTTTAACTGTAAAACTGATGATCGGCTCTGTAAACATTCACTCAATTCACAATAAAATGTTCAAAAAAATGCAAAGAGGGTCTTTTTTTATAGTTAAACAAATGTGTTTGTTCCGATTCCCCGGGGGGCCGGTTAGTCAATCATCCTATTTTGACAACATTCCACCTTTACCCATAGCCCTTCGTGGCATTGAAGGGTCGGCCCATTTCCAGGGCGCCCGCTAGATGGCGCTGTAGTGAGCAGGCGAGACTTCGAGGGCGCTCTTCCGGGCGGCGCCGTAGCTCCTTCCGTCTTCCCGGCAGGCCCCACGCGGCGCCTGCGCGCTCAGTGACCTTCCGAGTTGTTGGCTGGAGGTCCTCGGCCCGGGGGAGCCGTTTGTCCTACCGAGGTGAGTGCGGGTCGGTGGCTAGCGGCGACGTGGGGAGTGGACCGCTGGCGGGTGAACGGGGGCCACAGCCACCCGTTCCCATAGGGTCCCGGTTGACCTTGCCGTCTTCGTTTCCGGCGCAGCCCGCGGCCTCGCCCCGTAGCCCACGTCCAAACCCACCGACTCACAGCGGCCCTACAGGACAGACCCGAACCACCCCGTAGGGTTTCCAAAGCTGTGATCTTTACGGAAGCCGATTGCCACGTCTTTCTTCCACGCAGCGGCTGCTGGGTTAGAACCGCCGACCTTTGGGTGTGCAGCCGAGCGCTGTGGCCACTGAGCCACCAGGGCTGCCCAGAATTCTCTCCTGATGACCGAGTCACCAGAGCTCGTGTGCCCAGGAGCCGAGCTCAGCCGTCAGAGGCTGGGTGGCTCAGCCACGGTCACAGCCGGTTATGCGGCGGACCGAGAATCCTTACCCTGAATTTAGGGCCGCCCGCCGGACACCTCGTTTCCCTCCCGCTCGCCAGCCAGAGCGGCAGGTGCAGGAGGCTCTCGGTCTGATGTGCAGAACTCCGACCTGAGCGCACCTCTGAGCGGCCGGAAACCCACCCGGCTGGAAGACGCGGCCGGCCAGGAGCACTTGGAGGGAAAGCGGAGCCCCTCTCTTTATGAAACCCTGGGTGCTGGCCTCTTGTCCTGCCCAGTATGTATGCAGCCCTGACCAAAATGAAAGTTTAGGAAAGGGGGTCGAGCAAAGGTAAGTGCAGTTTAGGAGATACCGTGGTGGCACGGTGGATTAAACGTTGGGCAGCTAACCGCAAGATTATCGGGTCAAACCCACCAGCCGCTCCAGAGGAGAGGGGGTGAAGCTATCTGCTTGGGAACCCAGGAGCACACGTGTCAAGACAACTGAGGTTTCTCTGGTCCCTTTGCACCTCCCTTTGGCCCTTCCAGTTTGCTTGACTCTGTTCTGGGTTCTTCGGAGACCTTGCTCCATCTAGAGCCCCTGCCTGGCTGGACCTGCTCCCCCAAGTCAGGATGCTCTTATATCCCTCCTCTAGAATCCCAGGGCTCAGTGCTGTTGTCTCCTGCAGTGTGTTTGTGCAAAGTCTTTCTGCTAGCACTATGCTCAGCAGTGGGTTTATTCCATGCCAGGCTCTAGGATATGCCTTTGAATCCTATCAAGATCCCTGTGGGGAAGCTGTAGGTGTCCCTCTTTCATGGAAAAGGAGACTTCCAAAATGACAGTTTGAGGGGTTTACCCAAAGTCAGCAGAGCAGTGGCGGAGCTGATGTTGGAACCCAGGACTCCCAGGCTTTTGGCCCTGTTAGTCTTTCCGAGTTTGTCCCTCTCTCCTTAGAATTCACCAGGTGCCTTGAACTCTCCCAGGTGGGGGCTGCCCACCGCTGCCTCTGGCCCGTGTGAGTGCCTCTTGGGGTCCCTCTCGAGATAGAATTGTTGGTGCTTTGGAACCTCATGTAAAGCCGTGGACAGGCACTTCTGCAAGGGGAGTGGCATCTCCGGCTATCCTGGGGAGGCACAGCCATATGTTCCAAGGTTATGCTGGATTCTGTTCTTCGGGGCCTTTCCTCAGCGAAATTAAGTTCTCTCCCAGAGCAGAGCCAGGCCTGGACACAGGCTCCTGTCGTCCTTAGTTTTTGTACAAACCCAGACCTGCTGACAGCTGTGTCCATTGTGTAGGGCTGGAAGTAATCACGAAACAGCCTTAGAATAGAAGCGAAACTCTTCATCATGGCCTTCAAGGCCCCAAGTGGCCCCGGCCATCGGCCCTCCCATGGTCCCTCAGTGGCATTGTAACAAGCACTTAATAGGCAACACTCATCGCAGCAGAACGCATTTCCTCTTCTTAACGGCCTCTGGGGTGGAGGGGACTTTTTTTGTTTTGTTTTTTCCTAATGTTTTATTGTGAATTATGTGATAGTTTACATGGGAGAACATTAGCTTTACATTCATCCTATTGTATATCATTTCATTGCCATGGTTACAATCCCCTCCATGCATCATCAACCAACCAAAGGGTATACCCTGCAAGCCTGCCCCTTGGTCATCAGCATACAGCCGTTCTCCCTCCCTGAGTCCAGAGTCCCCAGCCACTCCATCTCTCCACGTCATCATCTCTGGCGTCACTGTTTCTCTGGGTAGGGTCCTGCACTCTGCTCTTCTCCCTTAATAGTCCCAGGGACCTCTGCTCCTAGACTGCAAAGTTAATCACTCCCCTCCTTTTGCTACACAACATCTACCTTTACATTTCCAACCCCCACAGTCAGTCCTGATAACAGTTATTCACTGTTGTGCCACATGAGTGCTATCCCCATCTCCTTTCATCAGCTCTGCCCAGACAGACTGGATACTGCTCAGTAGGAATTCTACCTTCCTGTGTGCCCTCTGGATCTAGGTTCTGGAGGGGACTTTTTATCTCTGTTTTTTATGGTTGTGGAAACAAACACAGGACTAGAGTGTGGGCAGCCATGGTGGCCTCCTTTCTGCCTCCTGACTCCACACTCTTCTGACCTTGGGTCTTGGTGCACATGCTGCTTCTGTTTAGGACCGTTGTCTCCCAGACTTTCTGGCTCCTGGATTCTCAGTTCCTAAAAAAAGTGTCTGGCACCTAGCCCACGCTCTGCTCACCTTTGCTGACTGAATAGATGGCCACACGATCCAAGTTTCTGTAATGGAAAACCAGAGAAAAGTACAAAGTAAGGTTCTGTGTGTCCAAGCAGTGGTGTGAAGACAATGGAAGATGAGTGTAGGGGTGGGGGTGAGCAACCTTCATCACTGAAGCCAAATGTTTTTAAAATCAAAAGAAAGTGCTTCGATGTTACTATTTCTGATAGTGGCTTGGTTAAATGTCAATAATAGACCATTTCAGATCTTAACAAAGCGTACTGAAATGAAAATGAGGGGTGTGGGCTGGGATTCTGGTGTCAAAAATTGCAAATATAATCAAAAGCATGACTTTAAGCTTTGCTTATAAAAGTGAATTGTGTAAGTTCAGAAATTGACGGCTTTTCCCCACCAAGCCCAGCAAATGTTCGTCAGATAGTGACACTGTAGAGTAAGCACTGGACTGCAAGATCAGCAGTTCCAACTTACCAGCCGTTCTTTGAAAACCCTTACAGGTCCGCAATGAGTTGGAACCAACTCAACGGCACTTAACAGCAAGGCACTCTTGGCTAAGTTTTGGGCTGCTAACCATGAGGTTGGTGGTTCAAACCCAGCAGCCACTCCCCAGGAGAAAGATGAGGCTGTCTGCTCCCATAAAGATTGCCAGTCTTGGGAACCCTGTCACCATTCTGTTTTGTTCTGTAGGGTCTCCAGGAGTGGGAGTGGGCTCAATGACAGCAGGGTTGGTTGGTTGGGGACTCGTGGATCAATACTGTCACATGACCTCTGAGAAAGTAGCCCTGTCTTCTTTTCTGTTTCACAGCTGACTTGAAGACTGAGAATGATAGTCAATCCGAGTGTTCATTTCACGGGGATGTCACCGTGCCCCGACCGTGTGCCTTTCAGCCTTGAATGCCAACACTTCTTAACACTGATGAGCACATAATAGATTTCAGTTTAGAACTTTTGCCAAGTGAGCGTAGTTGGGTCATTAGTGTGGGACAACCACAGGACAAGGGAAATGGTCAGATAACAGTGCAGGGCAGCTGGCTGTGACCACTCTGGTACCGGAGGGGCAAGAGATAACCAAGCGCCAGCTCGGCCAAGTGTGGGCAGCTAGAGGGCTGGGGTAGGATGTCCAGACCTGAAGGCCAGTGCACAGGACCAGACCCCGGGTGGTGGACCCTGTGGGCCTCGAGAGCTGTAGAGCAACGTTGTTTCTGGTTGCTGTCAGCTTTGAGTTGATCTTCCTCCTGACGACCCCATGTGACAGCAGAGCTGCCCCCGGGATCCTGCCATCTTGGTGGGAACAGATCACCAGGTCTTCCGGGCCATCCAATGCTTCTCGTACAGCATCACCCCAGCTATCAAACAGTGGTCGTGTTCATAGTTACCACCTTTCTTCATTTACAGATGTTTCAAAGCATCATTAAAAATGTGTGGACCCCCATGAAGCCGTACTACACCCAAGTGTACCAGGAGATCTGGGTAGGAATGGGCTTGATGGGCTTCATCGTGTACAAGATCAGGAGCGCTGGTAAGTTTCTTTTATGGGAGTTATTTGAGGTCAAGAAGAAATGGTTCCCCACAAGGATGAAGCCCCTGTTCTGAAAGCACTGTAAGAACCTAGTGGTCTCAGCACACCTTCAGTGGGACCCTCTGACAACAGCTGTGCCCTGGCAACGGACGGGCAAGCGAGTGTAACGCCTCGGTCATTTGAACCCAGCAGGCAGCCCCTCGGGGCGAAAGACGAGGCCACCTGCGTGAGTGAAGGTTCAAGACCCACACTCGAGCTGACCCGCTTGACCCTGTAGGCTCACGATGCGTCAGAGTCGCCGCCACAGCTCTGGGTTTGCTTTCTGGGTCTTTAGCTGTGACTGGCGCTCTGGTGGCACTGTGGGTCAGGCATTGGGCTCCTAACCGCAGAGTCAGCACTTCAAGCTGCTCTTTGGGAAAAAGATGAGGCTGTCTGCTCCCCTAAAGCTTGACTGTCTCAGAAACCCTGTCTAGGGTCGGTGTGAGTCACGTGAACATAATGGCAGTGGGTTTGGGCGTGGCGGTGGTGGTGCAGGTGTGATGGAGAGACGCAGGCTGGAACGATTAGGGTGAAGGGTCATCATATGTGGTGTTGATTGTAGCTTTTCTGAAACATTTTCCATCATGAAAGGGGAGAGGTGAGTGACCACTTGGTTCTCAGTAGATCGGAGAGAGCATTACTAAGCCATGGATTAAAAGGGGAAGAAACCCAAGTGTCCATCGACAGATGAGTGGGTAAAGAAAACAGGGCATCTACACACAGTCGGGCAGTACTCACCCACAGAGAGATGGAGGCTGGCCCTCAGGAATCGTGTCCACTGAAATAGCCACACGAGAACACCTCCTCTATATGGGAAGTATCCAGAAGGGCCAATGCATAGAGGCCAGCATTTGTTAGGGTTTCTCGAGGAAGCACGCTGACTCTAGGATAAGTCCTGAACTACTAACCATAAGGTCAATGGTTCAAATCTACCAGCTGCTCCAAGTGAGAAACATTAGGCTTTCTGCTTCCATAAAGACACACTGCCTCAGAGACCCTTTACAGGCTTGTTCTGACAGCACGTAGCAGCAGCCACCACCAGTGAGGAGGGGACGTGATGCTTGTAGAGGACTAGGTTACTGTAACGGGAGGTAACGGCTCTGCAACATGCTGGATTTCGTAATGAGTGTCACTGGTTTATGCACGTGAAAATGGTTATAAGGGCCAAGGTTGGGAGACATTACATATATACATCCATAGGTTCCAAATCATAATCGCCCTATATGGGGTTTCCAAGGAACCGCTGATGGGTTTGAACCACTGTCCTTGCAGTTAGTAGTCCAGTGTTTACCCTACAGCCCCACACCAGGAGTCGTTTAAAAAACAGTGATTTTTAGGAGGAGGAACGCTTGATTTTTGAGGAAGGCTTTTGGGGGCATGGTAAGACAGGAGCTGTTAGGTTCTCATAGAACATCTTCAGTAGCAGTGGAACCACCACCTCTGGGCTGATAGCATGCCGCTAACTTCCCTGTCACCAGGTAATTTAAGGAACTAGCTTTCCTTAAGTCTGGGGCTCGGGCCAAATGCCAATTCCAGCAATGAGTTGACTTGACAGTTTTTTAAAGTCTTAATCTGATGAATTTTCCCTTTTTTTTTTTTTTTTAGATAAAAGAAGTAAAGCTTTGAAAGGTAAGATTCTTGCTTTTTAAACAGGCGAGAAACTGCCTGTTTATTTTCACTGTTCTGAAATGAATGGGCACTCGGGTCAGCAGAAGTCCAAGGCGCAGTGCAGCGTTCTGAACATGTCTCCCGCCTGCCGGAAGGAACTCTGAACGTCTGCTTTTCACAGTTGAAATGGTACAAACTACACTCACTGCTCTGGGCTGAGCAGAACTCTGGAGTATTTGTAGCAAAGTGGGCGAACTGGAGGCGGCCCAGGTTTTGAAAGGCAGGGAAATGAAAGTCAGCTATGCCAGTGTGCTGTGCCTGCTAAAAACCCAACCTGCAGAATAGTCTGGAAAAAAGCCCCACGAGGATTGAGATCCGTGCTGCCGTTCCTCTGTTTCCAAAGACAGTGAAGTTGTGGTTGGTTGGATCCTCTCTTAGAAGCACAAACCCAGTGGCTGCCATGTGGGGAGCTGCCATGTGGTGCTCGTTCACACAAACCTGGTGTCCCCCACAAAACCAGTTCTGCTGTAGAATTAGAAAATTGTCTTTTTCACTTTCTGACATTGCTGTCTGCAGGATATACTGTGATTCCCCGTTCCTTCCTTAAGTTGTCTCTCTGCTCTCTTCTTGTTCCTAAAGCTTCGAGCCCTGCCCCTGCCCACGGTCACCACTAAGCCGCTTCACGCCGTGTATCCATCAGACGAGCCGTGAGCCTGGCTGTCAGCTGAAGCGAGCGATGTTCGGGGAGGAGCCTGCCTGTGCACTGTGCAGTGTGCTGGGCACACACCGCCGCCCTTGGCGGCGTGAATAAACGTGTTTGAGATGAGCCTCTGCCTGGGCTGGTCTTGCTGTCAGCGGCACCGCCCTCCCTCTCGGCTCCCCCCAGCATGCACTGTAGGTATCACACCTCTGGTGGGCAATACGTGTTTGTTTAACACAGTTCTGCTACTGCCTCCTCTCCCCACCTCTCTTAGCCTCCATTTTCTCCTTTGGAAAATGGAGCTGAGGGAAAGCTTGTGAGTTGTGGCGTGCTGGAGCGAAGGTGAGATGATCAGCTCAGAAGAGCGTGTTGTGGTGGTGATGTGCCGCAGAGTCGGTTCCAACTCATAAGGTTTCCCAGTGTGTAAACCTTTATAGCAGAAGAAAGCCTCATCTTTCTCCTGTGGAGCGACTGGTGGTTTCGAACTGCTGAGCTTGAGTTTCGCAGCCCAACTTGTAATCACTATGCTACCAGAGTTCACCAGCAAGGTACCAAGTGTGAAAAAAAAAATCATATGCTGTTACTTCTGATTGAACTAATACCAAATCAATACGACATACTTTTCTCCATCTAAGGCAAATACCAAAGCAAAACCATTCTAAAGCTTTGGGTGCCAAGGGTCAGGATGGAAGTACAACTTTGGAGAGCAGAAACAACAGCCAAGATCCCACTGCTCGGTGGTAGTCCTTTTCAAGGCCACGGACGAGTGTGTCCCAAGTGTGATCCTTGGCCTATCTGCAGACCGGTGGCTGCCCCCTGAGTCCAGAATGCGACTGCAAGGTGACACAAAGACATCAGGATTAGAAATCTGGTCTCTAGTGTGGGTGTGGCTTAGCCTTCTCCTAGAGGGCTAGGAATGCTGGGAGAGCTGGACTGGAACTCCAGCAAGGAGATAAGTGCTGCTGCTGGCCCAGGAATGTGCCTAGCGCCCCTGGTGTGTACAGAGGGTGTGCGCCCTGGCCCTGCGTGCGAGATTACCACCACACTCCCACATCCACAACACTGCTGGTCACTGGGTGCAGGCGCCCAGCACAGGTCAAGCATTTGAGACATGAATGCAGGGGCACAGCACAACAGCCTGTTTTACAGAGGAGGAAACGGGCTGAGAAGTACTAGAAGGATCCCAGCTACAAGAGCTGGCACCAGGGCTTGAACTACGGGATCTGTGCCCCCAGCAGGGTTGAGGAACAGCGAGGGGACCAGCGAAGCCATCTAGAGGTGGCCCGTTTCCCTTCTACTACACACAAGTCCCCAAGCATCTCTGGTAGTGTAGTGGTTATGTGTTGAGCTAACCTAATGGTCAACATATTGAACCACCAGCCATTTTGCTGGAGAAAGATGAGGCTTTCCGCTCATAAAGATGGACAGCCTCGGAAACCCTATACAGGGTCGCTGTGAGTCGGAACCGACTCTACCACCGCGCGCAAATCCCTGGGATTAGTCAGCCAAGTAAAGCTTTAGAAGCCAGGATGGCCAGACGTCATCTCATACTTAGGACATGTTGTCAGGAGGGAACAGCCCCTGGAGAAGGACATCATGCTTGGGGTAGTGGAGGGTCAGGGAGATTGGCACAGTGGCAGCAGCAGTGGGCTCGAGCATAGCAACGATTGTGAGGTTGACGTAGGACCGGGCAGGGTTTCATTCTGTTGTGCAGAGGTCGTTATGAGTCAGCACCTAACAACGAAGTAAAGCAAAGTTATGCTGTGCACACCCTGGAAGATACGTCACTAGAATTTTTCTAAAGGTAGAGCCGTAGGGTCCTTTATGGTTGGAACCAGGGACTTGAACAGGCTTGAGAATATCAAAGATCCATTTCTCTGGAACTTTAACCAAGGATGGACAACCTCAGAAAGTAGAACAGAGCAACCTTCCTGGCTCTGGTATGTTTTGTAGGGAGAGGAAGTAGGCATCTTGCTAACCCAGCACCCACCAGCTCCACAAAGGAGGAAGGTGCTTCTGGAATCCCTGAGACTTTGGGGACACTCAGGGCGAGTGCTGGAGCGGCCTGTAGGTGGCGCCAGAGCTCCCAACGTGGCCCTTTCAGAGGCCAGGGTCACCAGGGACCTGTCCCCTGTAGCCCGGGGTAACCAAGGGTGCCCCCACATGAAGGACATCTCCACATGGTGTGACTGGATCGCAGGTGTGCACCAGGAGTTGGGGGAGCAGCCTCTGTTCCAGAAGGAGACTCATCCCGGCAGATGCGTATCCCCTTCCTCACCCAACTACAACCCAGTGTCCAGGCGCAGCTTTAGTGGCCCGCCCTCAAGGACCTGAGCCTGCCCTGGAACGAGGCGTGCTTCCTCCCTCGTCCCCTTGTGTCTCCCTTGGTGCATGTGGCCCACGGAGACCAGGGAAGGGGGTTTGAGGCTCTCCCTAACTCCATCTGTGACGGCCCAGTGAGATGCACTGTTGCTCCCTCCCACACATGAGGACATGAGGGACTGGACTTAGCCTTCCTGAGGGTTACAGCTCGGGGAGCCGGACTCACTGGGGCCACCTGTACCTGTATTCACAAACCCGACTTGCCCGCATGTGCTCTGGCTCCAGATTGCCTCTTCTTTTTTCACACCAGGTCTGTTTTAAGTATCAGAAGGGTAAGCACCAGACTGCTAACCACAAGGTCGGCGGCTCAAACCCACCAGCCCCTCTCAGAAACCTTATACAGAGCTGCTGTGAGGCTGCCTCAAGAGCACACAACAACAATTTAAGTGACTACATTAGCAACTCAAAATAAACTGGGGCGGGGAAGCGAGCATGCGGGTGCAATGACACTGGCTGTGATGTGTGTTGAAGGTGGGCAGTAAGTGCCTGGGAATTCCTTATAAAATCCCCACTGCCTTTTCCTATCTTTACCGTTCTCTCAGTGTTTAAAACAGCAAGCCAGTCAGTATTCGAGCACCTATTTGAGAGCCGCCACTGCAGTAGTGGTTACAAATCGGCCTGTGAACCGCAAGAGCAGTCCCAAACTACCAGCCATTCCGCAGGAGAAAGCTGAGGCTTTCTGCTCCCGTAAAGATTTACAGCCTCGGAAACCCTGTACAGGGTCACTATGGGTCGGAATTGACTCTGCAGCACATAACAACAACTGCAACCCCAAGAACTTGTAACAGTTCTGCAAGCTCCCATTTGTGTTGGGGGTGCCATCTTATTTTCACTCCGTACAAGAATGCTTGTATTCCAAACATGTGTTACACACTTGTACATTTGTCCATCTGAGCCGACAGATGCCACAGTGGCAGGAAATCAGGGCAGAAGCTCCCATGTTATTTAAGAACAAGAATGTTTTTAAATTCAGTTTACAACTCCAAACTGCAATGTTCATCAGTATAAATGTGCCCGAGCTTTCTGCTTGACCTGCTTTTCAGATGAACATATTTGGTCTTTTCCTGCTTGCTTAATTCTAACAAAGTTCTACTCCAGACTTGGTCAAAGGTCTAGTAGTGTGGTATGCAGACCTTCTAACAGTGTTCAGTGTTAGATGAATCCTGTTTGATGGAAAAAAACCTTCACTTTCCTCATGAAAGAAAAGTAAAATCAGGTGGGGTGTGTTTTATAGTTTGTTTTTTTTTAATGTTTATCATTTAGGGGTTTTTTTATGTTCAGCACTTGAAACAGTAAGAAGGCAAGTCAGAGGTGGAAGGCAGCTGAGAGCTGCGGCAGGCAGACTCCCAGTGTGGTTAGACTACCTCAGTAGCTAATGGATTCGGGGCCTGAGCTGGTACAATTGAGCGGCTTACAGACCTAGATGTGGGCCAAGAGCCTGTCATGCAACAAGGAAAACTTCAACAGTAGAGGGACTGAATTTAGGGGAGTGGAGAAGGGTGTTTCCACAGGGTGGGAGGACCAACCATACCCCTGAGATGACCAGGACGTTTCCAAGACTGTCCCGAAACCCTAGTGACCATTGTACTAAAGGGACTCTTTGTGTGAGGAGTATGGACTTGCCTGTAGACCTGCACCCTTGACGTGGACAAGGTAGGGAGCAAAAGGTCTGGTTTTGGATTGTTCGTCACACTTCCTGCTAGGGGCAGTGGGTGTCCGAGAGCAAGAAGACAATGCTGGTCCCCCCTCAATGAAAAGCATGTCATGATAGTTGGGGTTGCAGTGTTCCAAGTGTTCAGGGAACTGGTGAAAACTTGGGGATGGCGTCCCACTTATCCAGGGCTGCTGTTACGGAAATGCCACAGGAATATATTTGAAGGAAATGAATGTCATTTGTACGGTTGTGAGGCTTAAAGTCGAGTTCCGGGTGCCGGCTTCACCTTCATTCCTTGGCGCTCATCTTCATGTGGTCAAACGTTTGTCTTTCCCCATCTCTGCTTGCTTGCTTCAATACCTGGTCTGCTCTTGAGCAGGGGGTGCTTCAAAAGATTCATGGGAAAATTCCATTATCTTTCAGTTCCATTTTTCAAAGGTGACTGACTTAAGACAGGCCCACACCAGTTAGGGCTCGTTACATAACCAAGGAAACCGTACCCAAAAGGGATTCTAGCCACAGGTGTGTGTGTGTGTGTGTGTGTGTGTGCGCGCCATCGAGTGGGTTCCGACTTAAAACCCAGAACAACAAACTCAATGCCAGCCAGTCGATTCCTCCTCACAGTGGCCCAGTGGAGCGTTTCTGAGACTAAATCTTCACAGAAGCAGAGTCTCCTCTTTCTCCCATGGAGCAGCTGGTGGATTTGAACTGCCTACATCTCAGTAGCTGCGCATGTAACTGTACCACCAAGGCTCCGTACTATTCATATGTTGTTGTTGTGTGCCGTTGAGCTGGTTCTAACTCACAGTGACCCTGTACAGAGTTTCCGTGGAGCTGCTGGTGGGTTTGAACCGCCGACTTCGCAGTTAGCAGTCCACTGCTTATTGTACAGTGCCACGCCAGGACTCCTCCTTTGGGTGAGGTGGTGGTGATGTACT